GATTTTTGCTGTTACTTCTTATATGTCAGGCCCTGCTTTTGTGGGTCTTGTGGTTTGGGTGGTAGGTAGACGCTGAATGAGTAAGTATACATGTGATTGGTATCACAAGGGAGGGAAGATTTGGTTGGCTCTTCGGAAACGGGGTGCTGTGTATGTTAAATAGCACAGCAGTAAGCCCTAAGAGCGTTTATTCATTCATTCACTCAAGAGTCAACAAGGATTTCTGAACACAAGTGAATCTGCGCCCGAACTTACAGGGGCACCTGAAGATAGTCCCTGGTGCGTTTTGTAAACACTGACCTGGCTTCCTAGCTGGGGTCTAATCAACTGAGCCACCCAGGCGCCCCATCTAGCTGGGGTCTAAAGCGTCTATACAAATGCAGTGGTGCTTATGAGAGAAGATTATTTTCTTTTCCTTTTTTTTTTAAAGACTTTTATTCATTTATCTGAGAGAGAGCGAAAGTGAGAGAGATCACAGAGGAAGAGGGTGAAGCAAACTCCTTGCTGAGCAGAGAGCCCGATGTGGGGCTTGATCCCAGGACCCTGAGATCATGACCTGAGCCGAAGGCAGATGCTTCACCGACTGAGCCACCCAGGCGTCCCAAGAGAGGATTATTTTCAGAAGTCATATTTCACTAATGACAGTAGTAATAATAACAGCTAAAATGTATTGAGCATGTTCTAGGTGCAGAGCACATGCTAAACCCTTTACATGGATATTCTATAACCCTCAGAATAACCCTAAGGTAGGTAAAATTAGTATCTCCATTTTACAGATGAACACCCTGAGGCTTAGAGACATAAGAAACTGGCCCAAGATCACGCATCTAGTAGGTAGTGTATTTGAGAGGTCATGGAGCCCACCACCATGTCAGGGGAACTTACCAGGAGTAAGGTTTCATTTTAAAATGAAGGCCAGGGACAGGAAATGAATCTGCATACTTAGCCAAACATGTTAAGAATGTGAAAATAACTCACTCCTAGTTTTTACAGTGTTTCAGAATAAATAATCTGAAGGAGCCTGTCCAAGCATGCAGCTTTTTGCACACATGCTTGCAAAGGAGAAGACAGTGTTCATTGCAGAGAATGTTCCTACATTTTACACCTGCCCTACTCCTGGTAATGACCTGTCCTGGTTTCTTTTCAAGGCCTGCAGCTGAGCAAACCACTTCACCTCCCAAGGGACAGGTGTCTGCCTACCACTTGGAGCAGGACAAGAGAAAGTGGCCCATAGCTGGTCTCAGGTAGACACGACCATTATGTTACACAAAGGCTGGAAGAAACCTAGAGCTTTTAAGCTTCTGTGTTTCGCCGTATCTGCGATCAACACACGTGCTCACCTTACCATCCACTCTCCCGAGCGTCCTATGTAAATGCAGAGGATACTGGCCTTCACAGGAGCCTGGAGGCACCAGGAGGATCGGCTCCTCCTCTTCCTCCTCTTCCCGTTCATCATTGCTATTAACCATTTATTAAGCACCTACTGTGTGTCCAGCACTCTGCTAAGGATGTATGCATGTTCATGCCTCACAACAATCTTATGAGATAAACGAGGTAAAATTCTTGAACTCCTTTCTCAGATGACGAAGCAGGCTGTGAGGTTATTTAACTGCCTCAAGGTCCCACAATGAGGAGCAGTCTGGATTAAAACACGGATCTATTCAACTTCTGAGGATGCGCTCTTAACTGCAAAGCTACACGGCTTGCCTTCAAGGATTTACACTAAGGCATAGGATCAAGGAACAATGGACCAGATGTGTGGATCTAAGATAAGCCTGTATTTACATAAAGTGATAGGGCCGAGATTTAGAGGTTCTTAATCTGGGGTCCACAGACCTCTGAGTATCTAAAAATAGATTGCAGAGGCCTGTAACCCTCTAGAACAGGAGTCAGCAATTTTTTTCTTAAAGGACCAGATAGTAACTGTTTTAGGCTTTGCAGTCCCTGTGGTCTGTGTCGCAATCACTCATCTCTACTGTTGTAATGCAAAAACAGCCACAGACAATACAAAAGAATGGGCAAGGCTGTGTGCAATAAAACTTTATTTACAAAAATAGGCAGCTAGCCAGCAGGCTCTAAAATGGTGTGTGAATTCTATGTGTCTATGTGCATTTTCATTGTCATTAGGTGAAGATTCATAGTTTCCTTAGTTTCTCATGAAGATTCAAAATCCAAGACGGCTAAGAACCGGTCTGAATGGTCTCCAAGCCCGTCCAAACCCAGACATTCCCAGATTCTCTGATTCTACATGTGTTTTAAATCAACTCTCTCTTAAAGACTCCCTCTCACTAGCAGGCTCATCTAAGGCAGATGAGCCTCTTAAGTGGATTGTAATCACCGTCCCCGTGGAGAAGGAAACAAAGAACATAATGGAATTTCCACCTTCCCTGGCTTACCTGGCCGGATGGTCCTGGCAGGAACACAAACACATTCCCCACTGGAATACAGTAGCTCAGTCCTGCCCCAGGCTCGTGTGAGCTTTGCTGAAGCTTCTTCTTCCCAGAGATCACATTCTATGTTCCACTGAGCCTTCTCCACTGAAAGCACTCAGTTGTCTTAACCACAGCGATGCGCAGTTTGGACTCGTGGAGTCAGCCAGGTCAGCCCAGGTACGGTGCGGAGGGCGGGACGTTGTTGGATGCGCTTGACTGACACATCTCCGCATCTGTTCAGGAACCCCCTCCCAAGAAAACCTAGTTCTTTCTCCTTGGATTCCCCAGCTTCTTGAGTTAGAGCAGCTTATCTACTGCCTGCAATGACACCAAGGCGGACCTTTACCCCGCCTCCCACTCCATGGGACTTGTCTGCTCCTAACTGGACTCTTTGGGTGGACACTGCTGATGATGGTCCCTTGTGTCCTGGTACCATGCATGCTTTGCGTGTATTTTTTAGGTTATTAGTGCCAAGATCCCCGAAAGTTTAGCCAGTTTTAAATTCTCGCGTCACTTCTGAAAATCAAAATAATGACTGTCCAGTCACCTCGAAGAAAAAGCCAGGTTGACTGCTTTAAATTTTCGGGGGGAAAAAAAGCGGTATATTAAAACAAGGAATCACAAATACTATGAAATCACAACGTGATTGCACTTCGATTCCAGGTTTCTGAGAATGGAGGATTGGGCCCGGAGGAAGAAGCAGAAGAAAAAGCAGAAGGGGAGAAGACAGGACAGAGGGCAGGAGAAGGGCACAGGGAACGACGAGCCCGACAGGTTCACAGAGGGAAGGACAGGTGCGCAGGGGTCCGCGCGCTTAGCCAACCGCGCCTGCGCTGAAACTCAGCGTCGCCAGGATGCAGCTCTTTGTCAGAGCCAGTGACCTCGGAGGAAGGAAATAAGGCAGCAAATGAAAATCACGGGAAGATCCATCATTCAGCCAGGACTTATGGAGACTTTATTCCGTATCAGACGCCTGTATCTATCACATCAGCGTTAGTGTTAGCTCTCTGAAATGAAGCCTCATGAGGGCCGTACCTCCAACTAATATTTTGGTTCGGCTTTGGTGACCACGTTCATCCAGCAGCGGTGTGGTGCCTTGTAAATAGAAATGGGTTATAGATGTGTGGGCTCCTCTTCTGGCATATTGTTATGTATATTATATATAAAGTATATACCCGCGCGCGCGCACACACACACACACACACACACACACACACATATATATATGTATATGTACTTGGATGAGTATAAAATACCAGATAAATGTAAAATTGACCTTGTTCTTTTTACTTAACAAGGTAGTGGGTAGACGAGGGGGTGGGGATGATGGCATTTTGCACAGAAGGCTTGGTGACTCAAGGAACTGTCTTTTTTTCCCCCTCGGTAATATCTGGTCTGGGATTATTACTGCTTTCTCGATGTTTTTAGACATACTTCTCCCCTTCAGAAATGCCAAAGGTGAAAAATACTATTCCACTGTTATAATTTGTCAACCTTGCTTTCTGAGCAAGAAAGATCTGCATAGACAGTTTAGTAATTAAGCTTTTCAACACTGCATCATAAAGTTTTATTCTGGCGAAGGCTATATTTATCAGCTAACAAGTATTAAATCACCCCACCGCTCCAGCCGTTTCTCAGTTAAGTATGCTCCTTTCAAAACAGAGCAGCTTTCCTTGCCTGGCTTGATTTAATAAAAGTTCTTGTTTGCAAATACCACGGTGCTGTGGGGTCCTGCGGGCTCACATACATCCACCTTCGCAAGTGCTCCAGATGCTTGGCGACCCCGACTTCCCAGGGGCATCGGATGCCCTCGCCCTGGGTCTTTCAAGGCATCCTGGCCATCTGAGTTTCAGGGCCCTCTAGGATGGCCTCCAGCACAATATATTTTTCTTCCCGGTTCAATTTCTGAAGGGAAAAAGGTGAATGAAAATAAAGAACACAAGCAGTGGATACATTTTATTTCCTTATTTGAGCGGCAGGCAATTGGCCTCTTCCTCACAGAGATGGATCTACGTGTAAAATGAGTTTTCAAAACGACTTAAATGGCGAAGTAACGATGATCTACATACTAAGCAGTTTGGAGCCTTTTCCCGTACGTGCCATAGATTTTTCAAAACAGATGCGGAATTATTAGGGAATTAGAAGGAGTAGATATTAATAGTCATCAGCAATGACTTAGACGCATCTTTTCTCTAAGTAACTCACCCCACCTTCATAAGTCCTTTTTTGCTCTTTTCTTTGGAGGATGCACGTTCATGAGACGAATACAACAATTGTTCTTAAGGCTTCAGGAGGTTATTAATCCAATGGCTCCAGAAGGGTATCAGTTAAACACAAGATAGTTAACACATTTGAATGTCTTTTCTGCCATGCTTCCAGGGTAAAACCCAGAGAAAGACAAATGTTAATTAAATATGGGCCAAAATGATGAAAGAAATCTCAATATCAGTCATCTCATCAAACCAGAAATCACACGCAGTTCCCCCTTCCTTTAGTGACAGGTAGTGGTTTAGAAGGCAGGGGATCAATTTCTGTCCAGCCAGCGAGTGACGGGAAGCAGGTGGGTCACTGAAGCATGTGGGTGATATGCTGAACCTCTAAGTTGGCAAATATTGAACTATTTTAAGTGCATCTATTTTCCAGTTCAGTAAATTTTCTTGTTGTATTAAATTCATTAAACTCGACACACTCTAAATGCCACGGGACATCCCAGGGACCACCTGAAGTTAACGGCACCAGCCATCCGGTAGAGCAAGAGGTAAAGATCAATATATTGCCTCTCAGCTTCTATTTAATTTTTACCTTTCATGTTAGGACTGAATTCTTTTTTAAGGTTAAAAACTATGATAGGACTTGGAGAGTCAAGTTGCATCTGGTTATTATGTGAAAATTTGAAGAGGGGTTTCTTTGTCAGTCAATTGCCCTCCAAACAATACTGTCCTAGAAACAATGACATTCTATGACCAACGATTCAGGATCATTCAGTAACTAGAGAGAGACAGAAATTACACTCTGTTAGCCACAGTTTGGGGGAATCCTGTAGTTCAGCAATTGGCAAAAACACTGAATCAAGGACATACTTGAAGATCAAAAATGAGGATTGGATAATTATTCTTTATTTGGAATGGAAATTTTCAAAAGAATAAGGATTTTGGAACATGAACCATTACTCTGACTGGACAGGCTTTTTTGGGAGGCCATCCATTTGTTATTCTTAAGCACTGTTTTCCTCTAACAAGGCGTAGTCATGACAATTCAGAAACACCATGAAAGGTGCATGGTACAAGGCATTTTCATTCTAGCATGGGTTGTAACTGTCAAAATCATAAAATCAATTTTATACTCTGTATGAAAAATTTTCCAGTAATTTCTCTCAACAAAATAGAAAACAAAATAATCAATAACAGAAACTTGTGAAAACAAAAACCCAAAGCTCATGCAGAGGACAAAGATACAGGTGCTAAACATGGTTCTTTAAAGCTTCTAGAACACACCGGGCAGAAGTGATGCAGCCATCGAAGTTGGACTGGGTGAACGCATCCCCTCCACACACAAGGAAAGGTTTGAGGTGAAGAGTCAACTGGCCATGGGAGTTGACGGCAGCATTTGTAACCTAAAAAGGTTAAAAACAACAACAACAACAACAACAACACAAAAGGATTGTGGTTGACATTCCCTGCCCTCTTGTGCTGTGATGTCAGCACCCACCTGAAGAAATCGCCATGTCTCACAAAACCGAGACCCCTGAGTCCCTCTCCTCACCCAAGTAGTCAGGCTGACCTTCTCAAATGTTGACATTTTCAGTTAGTTGGCAAACTTATCAGAACTTGAAAATTAGTAGGTCATGATAGGCTCAATTAGCTGGAAGTACAGTGTTTTTTTTTTTATAAGGGGGAAATGATATTCATGAAATCATTTACCAATAATGGAGTCCCTGTGACGTGCTAGACAAGGGAAACAGAAAAGAGAGAAGGAATGTGTCCTTAAGGATTTTCCAGGTCAGCACAGAGTGTGGGCATATGACAGCAACTAAGGGCTCAGACAGGGTGAGTAAGAGGGCACTATGGGAACACCTGGGGGTACCCAACCCAGCACACCCAGATAGAGAAGCCTTCAAAGGGGAGGGGACGGGTCATATCACTTGAGTTCTGATGGGCGCGTAGGAGTTTAAGAAACAGGAATAGGGCTTTCCAAAGAGAATGAGCAGCAAGCATAAAGGCTCCATAGTCCATGGGCAAGAGAGGAAAAAGTGTGTTTTGGAAAGGGACTAATCAGAGGAAGGGACATGGCTGAGAGGCAGGCTAAGAGGCACTTAGTGTTTCGGAATTAAAATGCGTAATACTTCTAAACAAAAGTCTATTAAAAATGTAGAATTTAAAGAAGAAGATAGCAGGAGGGGAAGAATGAAGGGGAGTAAGTCGGAGGGGGAGACGAACCATGAGAGACGATGGACTCTGAAAAACAAACTGAGGGTTCTAGAGGGGAGGAGGTGGGGGATGGGTTAGCCCGGTGATGGGTATTAAGGAGGGCACGTTCTGCGTGGAGCACTGGGTGTTAAACGCAAACAATGAATCATGGGACACTACACCAAAAACTAATGATGTAATGTATGGTGATTAACATAACAATAAAAAATCTTTTAAAAATGTAGAATTTACTACTTATGAGGGGCACCTGGGTGGCTCAGTCAGTTGGTTGCCTGATTCTTGGTTTTGGCTCGGGTCAGGGTCGTGAGATCGAGCCCCATGTAGAGCTCCACGCTCAGCAGGGAGTCTGCTTGAGATTCTCTCTCTGCCCCTGCCCCGACTTGCATGCTCTCTCTCTCTAAAATAAATAAATAAATAAATCTTAAAAAAATGAATAAAAGGATTTACTATTTATGAGCCAAAGGGGAGAGAATTAGCTAAAGTTTGGGATTTATTTTATTTTATAGAACCAGGTTTATAACATTTGAAATGCTGAAAAGGCATTGAGGTTATTTCCTGGAGAAAAATATTCTCAAAATTGGGAAGGATGTTGCTAATAAACATTCGCAGCCAGAAGAATGAGCAGGCGACAGGGGTGTGTGAATACAGTCATCTTGGACATGAGACAGTTTGGCTCCTGGAGCACCAAAACCCCCTAAAAAATAAATCACACAAACTTATTATAAAGGCAATCTCGGGGCACCTGGCTGACTCAGATGGTAGAGCATGCGACTCTTGATCTTGGGGTCATGAGTTCAAGCCCCATGTTGGGGGTAGAGTTTACTTAAAAAATAAATCAATAAAATCTCTTCCTTTATATATAAAAAAAGTCAATCTCACTTGTGGTTGCTTCCCTGCACAACTTCAGGGCATGACATTCACACAGATTACAACGTGGCGGTTCTGGTCTCTTATACAATATGTTCATGGAAAGTTATAGGCTAAGGCCCACGAGGAGTTGTTTATTTAAAAATTACCAAAAAAAATCAAGAAATGTATCAAATGCTATTTGGATTATGGGGTTGAGATTTGGTTCTAGGTAAGCTGAGTTAGTACATGCTTGGACGATCTTTTAAAACCAGAAAAAGTTTGCATAGATTTTTTTATAAGCCATATTTAGCTTTAATAAGGAGGTTAGTTACAATTATTTCTTCATTGAATCACTAAAGATATGGATGTTTAAAGTCCTGTGTCACTCAGATACGAATGTAAAATTTTAAGAGCATCCTCTCATTTTCTTGGAGGTCACTTGATCGGAGCAGCATCTTTCATACACACTGCAGATAATCTTCTTTAAAAGTTATGCCACAGGGCGCGTCTGGGTGGCTCTCTTGGTGAAGTGTCCAACTCTTGATCTCAGCTCAGGTTTTGATCCCTGGGTCTTGAGTTCAAGCCCCTCATGAGGCTCCACACCCAGCGTGGAGCCTACTTAAAAATTATACCATAGTTTTATTGTGTTCAATTGCAACTGAACACAGCTCTATTGGAGTGTAACTGACAAATAAAAATTGTATATATTTAAGGCATACAACTTGATGTTTTGATATACATATGTATACACTGTGAAATCGTCACCATAATCAAGCTAACTAATATATCATCAGCTCAGTTATCATTTTTCCTTCCTTTAATTTACTCTCCTCACTTCTCTCCTTTCCCTTTCCCTTTCCCTTCCTTTCCTCCCCCCCCCCCTTCTTTCTGGTGAATCACTTTATGATCTATCGTCTTAGCGAATTTCAAGTCCACAGCACAGTACTGGTAACTAAGTCATGTCGCTGCACATTAGATCCCCGGAACAGACTTACCCCGTGTAACTGAAACTTCGTATCTTGGACCAACATCTCATTCCCCCCTCCCACCGGCTCCTAGTCTTCACCATTCTACGCTCTGCTTCTATGAGTCTGACTAGTTTAAATTCTGCATAGAAGGGAGCTCATGTAGCATTTGTCTTTCCATAGCTAATAATCTTGAAATCGGCTCACAAGATCTTTGAGTGGTTAAAACAGACAACACAGAGTGTGGACACTGAAGCACAGACTTGGGCGTTCAGTCAGAGCCTTTAAATTCCTACTTTATTTTATTTTAATTTTTAAAGATTTTACGTATTTATTTATTTGAGAGAGTGCTTGTGCAAGCAAGGGGAGGAACAGAGGGGGAGGGAGAGGGACAAGCAGGCTCCACACTCAGCGTGGAACCCGATGAGGGGCTTGATCTCACAACCCTGAGATCATGACCCGAACTGAAATCAAGAGTTGGACGCTTAGCCAACTAAGCCACCCAGGTACCCCTAAATTCCTACTTCAGACAGAATTTAAACAGGTTGGATTATTTGATTTGCCAGTGAAACACTAAGGGAAAACTGTTAGGTTCTCATGCATATTAATGATTTCAGAGTGTGATAGCTGGTAGTCTGAAAACAAGGGATGTTATATAAACACTCAAAAACCAGACAAGACTGAGCAGAAGCTTGGCAGTCTGGGACCGTTGAGTAGAGGGGCAAATCATTTTCTGACTTTTAATAGGCCATGAGGGTACCAGCTATGTTTTCCCACAATCATCAGTGCTCATGATAAGGGCCCCAATATTCAAGAACCAGTTCTAATATGCACAAAGTATTACTTGTTAGCATTTCTTGAATGTTTGCCACATACATATGCTTTACATGTGCACCCATTTAATGAACACAGCCACCCTATGAGGCTGTTACTACTATTCTCATTTTATAGAGGAGAACCCTGAGACTCAGAAAGATTGTCACCCGCCCAGGGACAGAGAGCTAGGAGGTGAAGAAACAGAGATCCGAACAGAGCACGCAGACTCCAGAACTCACCCCTCTGACACTTTCAGAAATATTTCCATGAAGACTTTATTTATTTATTTATTTATTTATTTATTTATTTATTTATTTTTAAAGATTTCATCCATTTATTTGACAGAAAGAGACACAACGAGAGAGGGAACACAAGCAGGGAGAGCAGGAGAGGGAGAAGCAGGCTTCCCGCTGAGCAGGGAGCCCCATGCGGAGCTCGATCCCAGGACCCCGAGACCACAACCTGAGCCCAAGGCAGACGCTTAACGACTGAGCGACCCAGGCGCCCCTGAAGACTTAATTTAAATAAAACAAACAAAAATGTTTGATAGTCACTGATAGTTTTATGCATCTGAAAATTCATATAAACAGGGTAACTCATTCATATACATATACACGGATGGACATCTGTTTGATAGAAAATAATGCATGACCATATATATGTATGGTTTTTTAAAACAAAACAAAAACGTTTGATGGTCTCTTAGCTTAATGCATATAGAAAATCACATAAATGGGATAACTCATTCACATGTACTCATATATACATACACGTGTATGTCTATATAGTTTACACACACACACACACACACACACACACATAAATCTCCATTTGTGGTAAAGTTATGACACATTCCAGTTGACATCCCTGTGCAGATAAACCATCACTACTGCACATTAACAGGTATTAAGCAGGAGGGAGCTGGAGGGAGAACGTTCTGCCCAGGGTGAGGTAACAATTTGTCGGTGCCGTGTAATTCCATTTGATGACTGGTACATGCCAGATGCTAGGTCACGTGGCTGGAAGACTGGGTTGCTGACTGGCCAAGTCTGCAGTTTGGGGAGGAAATCAATCTCACGGCATTTAGGTGGACTCCCCTTGAAGCATGCTTCAAACATGCCCTTCTTTGTCATGTTTCTGTGACTTTGAGCCAGCCGTCCTGCGGGGTGATGGTATACCATTTCCCCCTCGTCGCTGCCCTTCTAGAAGCAGCACAGATGTCACCTGCGCTGAGGTCTTCGTGCTCTGCCAGGCAGGGTAAGAGCCTTTACAGCATGTTATTTTATCTGTGATGTTACTTGCTGCTTTGCACTGGAATTACGTCCAGATTTGTCTCCCTTCCTAGACCGCATGCCTCAAAGAGCAGGAGCTGGGCTGCACCAATCCTTGTGTCCAAGGCTGGGGATGGTGCCTAACCTCTATTATGTATGCAATGAATGTTTATTGAGTTAAAAAAAAAGACAATATTGTACATGCAATTGATCAAATGAAGGTCTTCAAAGGGAACCATCTACACAAAAAATGTTATTCAGAGGCTCCCACTGAGCTGGCAGAAG